TCCTTGTGATTATCTGGCTGAGGGTTCAAGCCAATGCAGAATAATAGCAGGGACAGTACATCAGCTTGGTATATGCCATACTTGATAGACACTTGTGTGAGCTTCTTGAATTGACATCTAATATTGTCTTTCATAATCCCATTGAATTCTTGTGAAAGGTCCTTAGTGTCTGTTGACTTTGTATACCACCAAACATTCACAGCATTGAGTCGTAGGCTTTCTAGTAATCAGTACAGGCTGTGTGCTCAAATTGATCTATGTAGACTTTGAGTCTTGAGTGACTGCTCAATCTATGAATAACTGGAGTTTTGAGCCTCTGATGTTCTCAATGTGTGAGCACGCATTGCGCAGTGATCTAGATCAGAGTTCCCCAACCTTTTGCAGTTGGTGGCCCGGAGCGGGGGGAGGGGAGAAAGAAGGGATGATTTTGTGGGAGGCTAAACACATGTGCATGCACATGCGCATGCACAAACACCCACTGCAAGAGGGGGCTGTGAATGTCATGCAAGTGGGGCTGTGAGCACCTGCAACGCTTGCGGTAATATGAGTGCTTGTGCATGGGCCCACAAATACCCATGATACTCACGGTGACACTCGTGAGAATGGGGCCATGAGTGGGGCTGCAAAAGTCTGCGATGCTCATGCAAGTGGAGTTGCAAACACCTGCAACACTTGTGGTGACACTTGCACGAGTGGGGCTGTGCGTGCACACACATATGCGCGCATTGGCCAGCCATTCACACGGCCCAGTGGCCAAGCCCAGCAGTGGGCCGCGGATCAGAGTTTGAGGACCCTGATCTAGATAATGAACCTTGTATACCATGTTTCCCCAAAAATAAGACACAGTCTTAGTTTTTTTTTTCCTCCAAAAGAGACAGTATATCTTATTTTCAGGGGATGTCTTTTTTCCTAACATCTGCCTTGCCTTGCAGCGATGGCATCAACAACCCTGTCCAGCAGGAGGCCATATGGCCTGCGGTGCCATGCCACCGGCACGAGATGAGGTGGGGGGAGGGGGATGGAGCTGCCCCAAGCACCCCACGGGCACCCAAACACTTTTCCCCCAAATGGAGATCTAATGGAGACTAGAAACTCCATCTGCTTGCAAATGGGGCGCTTGGAGACGGAGCTAATTGCTCCTTTTCAGAGTGCCTCATTCGCAAACAGACAAAGCTTCCAGTCCCCGTCAGATCTCCGTTCAGGGGAAAAGTGTTTGGGCACCTATGGGGTGCTTGGGAACCGAGCAAATTGCTTTGTTCTCAGCCCCTCATATATTTCCCCCCCCCCCGCCAGTGCCTCTGTGCGCGGACTTACCTGCTCTGAGCACCAAGGGGCCAGTGGGCTGTGGCTGCTGCCGGATACTATCAGCCCCCGCACGCTCACCGCCACTTGTGTTAGCTAGGCCCACCCCCCCAGGCTTATTTTGGGGGTAGGGCTTATATTAGGCCCATCCCAAACAATAAGGCTAGGGCTAATTTTCGGTATGGGTCTTATTTTCAGGAAAACACTGTAAATATTTTCTCTTTGTTTCTGCAAAAGGATCCTTTGCTTCTCCAACTAAAATAGTCATAAAACAGTCAATCAAGAACCTGATTGATTATCCTTGTTTCCAATATATAACACATTTTGAAGGGAGGAAGTAAATCCAATTACTATGTTGGCCCATCGGTTTGGTTAAATTATTTAACTGGTTATACTATATGTATAATTAAAGTATCTGGAATAGCTGAAAATGTATTGTATGCAGATTATTTTTAAACAGAAGTCTTCCAAAAATCTCAACAAGAACAAAGTTTCAAATGCACTGTACAACAAAATCATCACACACACCCAAACATTAATATAAATATAAAGCCTGTAAGGGTATTCTTCACTAACAGCAGTTCATTTAGTGACCATTCAAAGTTACAGCAACACTGAAAAAAGTGACTTATGACCATTTTTCACACTTATGACTGTTGCAGCATCCCTAAGGTCATGTGATCAAAATTTGGATGCTTGACAAACCGGTTCATATTTATGACGGTTGCAGTGTCCTGGGGTCATGTGATCACCTTTTGCAACCTTTGGAAAAGCAAAATCAATGGGGAAGGCAGATTCACTTAACCACCATGGTAAGAAAGGTCGTAAAATGGGGCAAAACTCACTTAACAAATTTCTGGCTTAGCAACATAAATTTTGGGTTCAGTTGTGGTCATAAGTCAAAGACTACTTGTACAGCACAATGTTTTGACCAAAGTATTACATAGCTAACAAGGTTTATTTGCACATTCCTTTATTCAATACATTGGCCAGTATAAAATGAAGTAAAGTATCAGAAGTTGTTATTCCTTGTTAGAGAAGAAAACCTAGCAAGGTACTTAACACTAAAATACAACATTTCTAAAAAAAATATTGCTACAATACCAAAGCACTGCACCAAACTGAAGAAAGCTCCACTTATGTGACCTAACAAGATGAAATTGCAAATCACTGTATTATTTTAAGCATTCAATTCTATTCATTTTTCTCAAAGAATTTTGCCAATTAAGGACACTGTAGTGAGATGCCCTAACCAGGGAATGGTTAGGTGGTAGTAAGTTGACCAAAAACAGGACAGAAAAGCCAATGGAAAAAGGTTACAGGATACATGGAAAGATTTTGGGATAAATTTGTCCCAGAAGATACAGGCTTCTGATTCATGATCATTTCCTTCTAATCTATGCTATTTTCCCAATTCTCCAAATGTATTTTCACACAAAGCTATTGATTCTATGAAAAATATGGTGTAAATGCTACAAATTTGCTTTTGTTCCCTTAAAAAGCAAGAATTGGCTTTGGAGGACAAATTTAATTAGGGGAAGAAAGGGCAGGGAGGTGGGAAGAGAGGAAGAAGAGAGTTCACTTCCACACATTACTATTACAGATGTATGACTGAAGGTGCCATTTAGTCGACTAGGGAAAACAACCCAAAAAATCTTTAACGCTATTTGAACCAGCTACCACTGATAAACTAGGAGTAAGGGAGTTATACATTTTTTTAAAGAAACCCATCCCTTTCAAATATTAAGCATTTAATATTACCAAGTAGATAGGGATAGGTCCAACAGTTTTCAATAGTTCTCAATGAACTATAAAGAAAAAACCAAAAGGAGTTCACCAAAGGAGGGCAATCCCAGACACAGAACCATCAGTAGCAACAGCAGTATAAAGCTGATATTTAGGCAAAATTCTGGCCAAACCAGCATAATTTTCTTCTGGACAACAGAATTACTCTTACTCATTACTACAGAACAGGAAGGCAAATAAACCTATGAATACAGCATTGGAAGTAGTTAAACCAATGAACTGAATGGTTTGACCTCCAAGAAAACAGGATCTAAGGCAGAGGGCTGCAATTCACTCCATCACCTCAGAAATCTTGGCAGTAGTTTATTTTATTAGATTTTTATCCTACCTTTATTATTTTTTATAAATAACTCAAGGCAGTGAACATATCTAATACTCCTTCCTCTTCCTATTCTCCCCTCAACAACAACCCTGTAATGTGGGTTGGGCTGAAAGAAAGTGACTGGCTCAAAGTCACCCAGCCGGCTTTCATGCTTAAGGTGGAACTAGAACTCAGAATCTCCTGGTTTTTAGGCCAACAGTTTAATCATTATTTCTCCATACACACTAATTTGGTTCATGATATTGAAAGCATGTAAGAAATAAACAATTCTGTTTCTAGGAAGAACTATCACAGATTAAGACATGGGGCCTTTCCAGTGTCAATTCGCACAATCTAGTAGGGCTGTTTTGAATTCCCCTTCTCATATACGTAATATACAGGAGGGGAGAGTTGCAGGTGGCAATTCTTCAGCAAGAAAAATGAAATTTGCATATGCTGTTTTTTGTCTATTTTTTTTTCTTTCAGGATTAAATTCTGACACCAAAAAATTCCTGAAACTATAATCTAAATCAAAATATGTTCAAGCAGAGAGAAAAATGTTGGGGGAAAAAAAAGACAATCCTCTGTCAGGTAAAATCTTTCTGAAGATTTTACAGAAAGGCCACCTAGCAGCACACTTCTAGTCCCCAGGGCTGACAGCTAAGGACCAAAGAAAGGGAAAATGTGAGGGTAAAACAAAGACAAAACTAAGCTGGATTCAAAAGAGGGAAACGAGCTGGCCAAGCAAGAGAGGAAGAAAAAACTACAGCACAACCAGTTTTTCAAAGTCGGGTAGTCTTTCACATAAGCCTTAAGTGTAGGGATGATTATAGGGGTATCCAAGATGAATGCTTCGATTTCAACAGAACAATCCTCATTCGGAAACAAACTCCCTTGTGGGTCAATGGGACTTCTTGACACGACTGCATCAATAGTTTGTACTATGCATTTCTCTTCCTCGTCTGCAAACAAGCACAAACTCTTTTCTTTCTACCCATCAGAAGTATCAAGAAAAAGAAGGAAACGGGCTAATCACCAGCATTTTCCCACCCTTATTCAATGTAGCGGAGACGGGCCAGGTCACCCGCTTTCTTTCCTCCGCCAGCCCGCCTTCCACCCAGTCCCCGTCCCGCGACTACTGAGGGGCACCTGGAAACACATGGAAGCGCTGCTCGGCTTAAGAACAGCCTCCGCGAAGCGGGGTCCTCGAGGCGATCTCGGCCTGCGCCTGTCACCAGTCCCGGTTTGCCGGCCTGCATCTCCCTTCGCCGAGCTAGTACGTACCTGCCCTCACTCGAGCCGCCACCGCCGCTGCCCTCTCGGCCTCCTCCCGGCCCCACGCACCACGGCCCGGCGGCTGCTAGCACTATGGCGGGCACACACTTTGCTCGTCACCGCGGCAGAGAGCCTCGTCGCCCTCCCCCACCCCCACGCGCTGTTCGACCCAGAGCCGGAGACACATTAGGCGGCACGCGCATAGGACCCAGGGAAATGTAGTCCGAGAAGTGCGCGTGCGTACACTATTCACAATTCATTTTCTCTCCTTTCGTCTCCGCAAAGGGCTTTGGGAATCGTAGTCCCTGCTTTCTGAAGCGTTTCTGTTTTCCTCCGCGGGAGGAGTTACTGACTTCCTGTACGCCGCGAGAAAAGCGCGAAATGGCTGTTTTAGTGAGTGTACGATCCCCGCAGGTTCGTAGTCATAAGGAGAGACTGTTAAAGTTTTGGATGGCATCAGAAATAATTTTTAAAACTACAAGGACTTGTATAGGCTGAGGAGTGTTACTATAAGGGCATTTCAAAATTTACATCGAATAAATCCAAGTTTGATAAGAGCCTCAAACTGCAAAAAATGAAGTACAGCTTCTCAGTTAGCATGCCGATAGTGCACATGACACGAATTTGCTGCAGAGATGAACTGGTTCGTCTATATTTGCAATCCTTAATACATAAAAGCAAAGCTCATTGATCTCGATTGGACTGACTTCTTGGTAAATAATATGCAGACTTATATCTTACATCAAAAAAAGTAAAGTCAGCAATAATAATAATAATATAAAAAAGTTGGAAGGGATCTTGGAGGTCATTTAGTCCAAGCCCCCCCTGCTCAGGCAGGAAACTCAGACAAATGGCTGTCCAGTCTCTTCTTAAAAACTTCCAGTGTTGGAGCATTTACTGCTTCTGGAAGCAGGTTGTTCCACTGGTTAATTGTTCTCACTGTCAGGAAGTTTCTCCTTAGTTCTAGGTTGCTTCTCTCTTTGGTTAGTTTCCACCTGTTGCTTCAGGCCCTTTGGAGAATACTTGACTCCCTCTTCTAAGAAAAAAGTATAGTTCTTGATTTACACTGGCACAATTGAGATCAGAATTTCTGTTGCTAAGGAAAGCACTTGTTAATTGAATTGCCTCAATTTTACAAACTTTTTGCTACATCTGAATCACTGCAGTTGTTAAGTGAATCTAGTTTCTCCCATTGATTTTTCTTGTTGAAAGCCAGTTGGGAAGGTTGCAAATGGTGGTCATGTGACCATGGGGTGCTGCAACTATCATAAATCGCAACCATGTGATTACAAGGGATGCAACCACTGTAAGTGCCAGTAACTTTTTTTCAGTGCCATTGTAACTTGAAACGGTCATTAAACAAACAGTCCTAAGTGAAGGACCACTAGATAAACATTGTGTTGCAGCTCAATATTTCTTCAGGTTCATAACTATTGCAAATAATTGTAGCAGTAACATTATACTGTTATATCTGAAAGTCCTCACACTCCAAAAGAATGAGGATTCAAAAGGCCATGCATTCGTCTTATTAAAAGTTACAGTATTGAGTTGTCCAGCATCAATCATTCTCCTAATGCAAGAATGTCAAACTGGTGGCCTGCGGGTCAGATGCTTCACGCGCAAGCCATGCCCATCCTGGCTTCGCAAAGGAAAAAAACGTCATGATACATCACGTGACACGATCGAGTTTGACACTCGTGTCCTAGTGGGTGTTTTAGCATTACATCACAAAATAGGTAGTTTGTTGCTTCCTTTCACATTGTTGCTACAATTGTTGTCCAATCCAGTGGTGGCGAACCTTTGGCATGCGTGGCAGAGGCGGCACTCGGACACACACCTCGGTGTGGGCACATGCGCCGTTGCCCCAGCCCCACCTCCTCCCATGGCCCCCTCCTCACCAGCAGCCCCCCGGAGGAGAGTTGCCCCTGGGCATGGCCCACACGAAGCAACGCAGCCAAGTACATGGTAGCTGGGCAGCGGGGACAAGACTCTGCCCTTGCGCCCCGTCGCGCGCAGATGATGCTGCGGGGCATGGGTGGAGGGTGTGGCCGTCATGACGCTGCTGAGCCACGGGTGATCTGTGGTGGGCCGTGGAGGTGGTGGGTGGCCCAGTGAACAGGGCGGAGCAGGGACGGGTGGGCGGCGGTTTTTGGGCACTCAGTCTCTAAAAGGTTTGCCATCACTGGTCTAATCCCTATCACTCTTTGGCTGGAAAAAAATCCCTTTAATGGTGATTAAATAGAATTTCTACTCTACGTAGTATTGAGCTGTAACATCTTCCAAGCAGATGTATCATTGTAAGAAATAAATACAGCATCTTTTAAAACTGGAGTAATATGTGAAATTGCTACTGCATCTGCAGGCTTTTAGATCAAAGATTATATTACTCATGACCCTGGATAAGCCGTCATAGCATCAGGTAATCCTTTCTATCTCTCAGTTTCAAAACCCACCCCTTCCCTTATCATTACAATCCTGGGTTTCTTTAAACTTCACATACCGGTAGGTGTATTATATGAAACAAGAATCAAGAAATTACTTATTTGTTTATATATCATAGTACCAAGACATTACTAATTTGTGTCCCCCCCCCATTTAAGGCTGTAACTTCTGTTACCTACAATACCACTATTAACCAGCCTAATGATATGACTACTTTGGGGGTGTTTTAGGATAAAAGAATATATTGGGTTTTTTTTAAACAAGATTTTATTAAGTTTATATACATGAGGAAAAATAGGAACAATACAGGTATGGTAAAGGGAGGGGTGGGGGGAAAGGGGAAGGGAATAAAGGATTTAGGGTAAAATAAGGATAGGTACAATCACATATTTCAACAAACAAGCTACCGTCCGGATCATAATAATGAGTAAATATCATATTCCACCATTTTTACCATAAGCTTAGACTATAACATATTAAAAACAATTAGTAAACAAATACGTTGATTTATTAAGTAAACACTACTAATAAAATCTCAAAAAATCCTAACAATCAAGAGTAACATGAAAATCAGTAAATCACGAAAAATAATCATATCATCAACATGTTAATTAGAACTTGGTTAAAAATTAGTCATCTGTTCTAAAATATTGAATCTTTCAAATTCTAACGTGTCTCTAACCATTGATAAAATTTTTCCCAAGTTATAAAATAAATTGAGTCATCTTTTTCTTTCATCTCTAATGTTAGTCTATCCATTTCTGCACACTCTAAAATTTTAGTAATTATAATCTGGTCAGATGGTAAATTCTCATTTTTTCCAAAATTGGGCAAATACTATCCTTGCAGCTGTTAAAACGTGCAATATCAAATTCCGGTTTAAATTCTATCTGTAGTTTCATCATCTTTTCCAACCAACTATGGATCTTAGACCAATATTTCTTAGCGATAGGGCATATCCACCAGGCATGGTAATAAGTGCCTGGCTGTTATTTAAATTTCCAGCAAATATCTGAAACATTTTTAAACATTTTCGCTAAGCGAAAAAAGAATATATTGTTTGTTCGTTTTACAACATTTATATACCACCCCAGTAAATAAAGACTTTGATCTATACTGGATTATTCACAGAATTAAAACCATAAATTCCTATAAGTCATAATAAAATGTTAATGAGTAACAATAATAATATTAATTACTGCAAAAAAAATCCCCTCAGGCTTCTACCTATTGATTTAACAAGGGGACATTCAAGTCACAGATCAACTCCTTCATGGCCAATATTAGATAGAAAATATTTTTATGGAGGAGCAGCTACTCCATCTGGCCAGGATTAGTCTCTAAATCTCTATCCTTCTACCCAGTCTCTAATAGCACGCAAGACACCAATTCAAGATTTCCACAACATTTCCAGCCTGGCCTGAGGTGGCAATGTACCATCAATATACTTTATCCCAAACTAATGACCGATCAACTATTTGATATAGATGCTAAGGTACATTAGAAAAGGATCAAATCCTGTGATTGAAGCAAGCAAGGATTCTCCCCGCTTAACTACGGTACCAACTGAAATTTTCTATCCAGTGCCCTTAATTCCCAACACTTGCAGGGAACCTAGGACAAAATGGGCATGAATTTAATAGGTGGCAGACTTCATGCTACAAAGACCCTATCTATTCCTTTATGTTCCACAAGATGCACAATTTATAGTAAAATCACCTCTCTCACCTCACTTAAATCTGCCCAATTTGTGTCCAAACTAGAGCAAATACAAATGACTTATTTACATGCAAAATCATCCGGAAAGCCTTCAGGCATCTTTTGCCATCCTGAATAGTGCCACTAGGCAAGAATCTGTGGATGCAATAAACATGAGGAACTGATGCTTCACTCTTCACTCTTTGAGATACACCAGATCAGAAAACAGAAACTGCAAGGATTGCCAAGGATTTCACTGCTGTAAAGTATAACAGAATATTAAAAGCCTGCCCTATGCCCCCTCTTATATCAAGCAGAATCAAGATGGGTGTCAATGTTCAAGGTATATTAGCTCAGGAAACAGACTCCATAATGGTTATTAGAATTGTACTTTACTGTTGGAGGATATAATAACATAATTTTGAAAACTTCTGCTGGCTATTCTAACTCGAATCAAGACCAGGTTATCTTATGTTTCTTTCTCACCCCTCTTGATTCTCTGGGCTAAGTTGATCTTTACTTAATAGTTCTTGTGTTCCTTCTTCAAGGTTACTGTTGTACTCTTGTACATTTGGGTAATTTGAGTTTGTTTCTCATACTTTCCGTTTACCAAGACTGTCATTTTACCTCCCTTCATTATTCCTGCATTCCTTTCTCTAGGTTTTGTCCACATACCATTATATTTTCCAAGCAGTCTAGAAGTATTTTCTCAGTTGGTGCTAAATCTTTATCAGAATAACTTCCAATAGCAAGATGCAATAAATTTCAGTGTCTTCATCCCCCTAGTATTTCAGACATTTCAGATCAGTAGGAATAAAAAGGAGCAACAGAAATGTGCCTTATCGTATCTCCATGGTAAAACAAAATAATAGAAGGGGATAATTTTTGAGAGAAAGTATCAAAGGATGTGTGGAAAAATTGGATAATCAGTTTTCCAGGAATAAAAACAGGAACACCTTCATTCTTGCACATTTATACATGTATTAATGTTAATCTATAAATCAGTTTCCTAAGAATCCTAGACAAAGACACATATACAAAGACACACAAAACCCCTGGAAGATATTACAGTATTTGGAAAGGTTTTTGTGATGAGATAGCTGTCATGGTTCCGACAGATGAAACTTTTCAAAAGAACTTCGAGGCATTGTTTACCTTAAAGAATCTTTTATTTGAGAAGCATAATATCGGCACTACATAGTTGAAGCCAAAAACTGAATTCCCCTCCCCTTGGCACAAAGTAGCAAAGCACAATTCCTTCCTCCAACTAACAGTCATAAATCACATTCCCCAATTAGCTTGAAACAGCGGGCTCTCTCCACAGCTCTCCAGCCCGCCATCGTTACCAATTCTAGGCTCAGTAACCTTGAGTTCCTACGGCTTAGTTTTTTGTTGTTATGACTAACTGGACTCTCATCCACATCCCCCCCTCCCAGCATCAATCAACTCTAAAAGCGAAAGAGAAAAATAAATGCATTTCCATCTGTTGTCAAAGCAATAACACCCAATGTTAGCAGCATTGACATCAGCTTCCAGTTCTTCCAAACATTTCCTTCCCCATTGTGCTTTTCAAGTATATGCAAAATTATTTTCAAATCAAACCAAGTTAATCTTCTATATGGCAATAAGAAAATAGACTAGATGCTCTCCTCTGTCCCCATTTTTCATTCTGTCTGGTGTGGATAACAATTAACTATTCCCTCAATTAGTCCATTAAATGACATTTCACTGTATTAGCTTGTATTCTGGTTTTAAAACCTTAGCTGGCTGCCTTGAGCGATTAGGAAGACAAGGTATAATTTCATTAATAAATGTACAGGAAGAATGGTGAATGTTTATTTGCTTTAGAATTGAAGACTTCATGCAGACTTGAAGGGGGGGGGAAAGGTACAGGTTGCTGTAGCAATATTCTAGAGTTTCAAAAAGTCTTGGAACTTCAAATATGATTTCATCTTTCTTTGCTCTAATATTTGTGTACAGTATTTTCACTCACTTTAAAGTAGGTAAATGAACTTCTTAACTTAATCTTCTGTACTCTGGATCTACACAGCCCAGTTCATTTGGAACTATGCTATCATTCCCAAAGTTCAAGTCCACTGAAAAATTATCACTATGTATCAATAAGGACTTTAGTATCAGCTAAATGAACACGATTCCAAGTCTCTAGATTTTTTTTTACAAAAAAAATTCCATCCCAATTTCTGCAGAAATTGCATGATAAAATAGAAAGTCTGATTAAATATTTGTAGAATATGTGCTTTAAAGAGATCTCATTATTCTTCTAAATTTTCCTAGTATTACCTAAGAAAGTTTTTCTTGGGAATTTTAGTTATCCAGCTTATACAAGTAAACTAATCAGTTCCATAGCAGGAATCTGAGACTTGCCTTATGTAACAAATGTGGATTCAGAAACACTTTCAAATATTGTACATCAAGGAATATCTGCTACTGATATGTTTTATTAACAATACAAAAACACAGAAGATTATACAACCATATATGATTACTTATAATTTCTTATTCACTTCACATTTCTTAATCTTAGAAAGCAAAATTCATTTTTGCTGTTAGAACAATTTCTCAATATGGTAGGTTTCATTTGTTTTTGGAACAGAGCAGCTTCTTAGGAGTTGTTGGCTTTTCTTTCAAGTATACAGTCTATCTAAAAAATAATCTGTATAGTTCTGTGTGACATAATGTAGCCTTTAGAATGAGGAAGGAATGAACAAATCATTAAGGGGGAATTTGCTGAAAAGAGAAGTCCTGAGAGGACTGTGTAAGAAAGAAACTCCAAATGACCCAAGCTTGATCTTGTTTAGTATAAAATTGGATAGAAAGAAACTCTGGACAGGGTTTTAAAGACTCTGTCATTCTACTCTACAATAATAAATAGAATTTTTAGAATCCCTATCTGCCATTTCATGCCTATGCCAATATAGCTTGAAAGGCTGTCAATCTAGCAATTTGGCATGAAAATACATCACAGAGGTATATTTAAAAAGTAAATAATATTGAGTAGGATTCTTTATGGATAATAAATGGAATAGTAAATTAACTTTGAAATGTGTAAAAGTTTTATAGGATTATTTGCAAAATATTTCACAGAAAAATTCTATTTACCTTTACAGAAACATCTGATGATTCATGTTGATGATTTTGGCTGAACAGTGACTCAATGGTCCAAATGTTTTTTTCTAGTGGTAAGTGAATTTGCTTCATTGGATGAATCATCTGGTACAACCACCTTTTCTTCTTTAACAGTGTGTTTTATCACCAGATTCCATTCTGATGTCATAAACGAGACAGGTATTCCCATGAAAGCACTTTTTCTTTATTGGCCCTAGACAAGTAGTATGTAATAACTAAAAACAAAGTAATATGGGATGGGTAGGCATTATAAATCACAGATTTCTTAAAATGTTATGCTATGTGGAAATGAGATTTAGAGATTTACAGCTCTCACTAGTGCTGTAAAAGTATGCTATACTCAATTTACAGAAAGTTTTTTTTATTATTGTTGTTGTTCTAGTTTGTTCCTGACCAGCAATAGACAGAACAAGTTTTAACCTTGAATTTATTAATTAAATCTTAAGGTTTGCCAGAATTATATCACAGTTTTTAATTAGTTGATTGCATTTTTAAGTGATCAAAGCAGGAGAGTAAATGAGTGTATTTCATGAGAGATTGAAAAGAAAAATGATGAGGAAGAGTCAAGGAGATGGAGATGGTGACTGCTTGCTGATCTCTCTTATTGGCTATTTCTGACTGCTGTTGATTGCCCATTGTGCGTGATTGGAGCATTGGTTGCTGCTGACCTATTTGGAACAGTCTGGGGGGAACATAAAAGGAAACTAGAATCTGAGAATAGAGAGAAAAATACAGTAAGAGAGGAGTGGGTGGCTGGCAAGAGGAGAATGCAGGGATACTAAGCAATATAGACAGTGAAGGAGGTGTTGTGAAGATCTCTAAAATATGCGCAACGTTAATCCAATTCCATGAATAGAACCCAAATTATATCTACTAGAAGTCCAAGCTATATTATTATTGAAGAAGTTACAAGAGTATAAGGAGAAAATGTCTGTACTTAAACATAACAGGGACAGTGAGATTTTTCTGGGTAAGACAGGGAAGAAGCAAACACATAAAGGACACAAATGGAATCATGTGTCCCAGGTAAGGATCCAGAGGTACCCAGAATCAATGGAACTCAGCAACTGATATTAAGCTCTTGGTCTAGAAAACAATCTATGGCTATCTGAGCAATTCTCACCAAACCTGGCCTCACAGAATGGGTTGGAAGACCCTCTATTTATGGCTGCCCAATTCAAACAGTTGTGACTGTGGGTGTCATACCATCAATAACAAAGTAAGTAGCAACAAATCCTTTATAATTAAAGACAGCAACAGAAATTAAAAGGAGTTCAGGACCCAATTTTCTTTATATTCCTCCAGGCAAAAACTCCAGTCAACTTGGTCCCAATGCTCAAGGAAGGAGTGATGTTCTGAAGGCCAGAAAATTGGGACCAACTGTACAGTATATTGGAGGGGAGATTGCTTCAGAGGGCAGTCAAGGCACATTTGCTGGATTCCGCCTCATAATGTTGCTTCAAGAAAGGGACCTTAAACAGGTCCATCCTGTTAAGAGTTGTGGCATGAGCAGATACTGTTGGGGATAGTGGTCCTGTGTCATGTAGGGTTTTAGAAGTGATAACCAGTATCTTGTATTTCACTTCAAAGCCTGTTGGGAGCTAGTGCAGCTCATGTTTTGTCGTCATACTAATGTGTGTGCAAATCTACCTGCATTCTGGACTCGTTGTAGTTTCTGGATTATCTTCAAGCATGTTGCAGTAGTCTATCCGAGAGATGACTTAGATGATTAATCGCAAGCAAAGCCTTTGATGCAAACAGAGACAATTAGCAAACAAGACAAAGTTGTGTAAAGGCCCTCCTACCTAGTTACAGCTACTATCTGTTTGTCAAGTAGAAGCTATGACTCAAGGAGAACCACAGATGGCACACTGGCTCTGAATGGGGAAATACCACATCGCAAGAGCCAAAATGAAAAAGGAAAATGAAGCAAAAGCCTAGAAAAATACCACCAAGGACTAGGTCCAACAATGCAAGAGACAAAGGAAAAAGCATGAAGGAAAAGCGACAGAAAGGTTTTCTGATTTGATTTATATATGTGAGTTGTGTGTTAACTGTTTCCAAAACAAAGTATTCCTTCTTCAACAGGAATCACCCTGTGCAACAAGTAACACTCATTATTATACTGTTAAATATTGTTAAGTCCTTTTCTCAAAAACAAAACAAACAAACAAAAAAAACCCCCAACACATAACTTGGCATTTAAGGAATATAGACCCTGTAGGTTTTCCATATATTGTTAAATATCAGCTGACCATGTTCTTTCGTAGCTGAGATTTAGATTGTACAACAATAATGTTTAAAAGTGGAGCAAAAATGCATAATGAATTATTTCATATATTTCCTATTTTTCAGAATAAAATCTTTCCAGAGTAGCTAACAACACATTATGTATCATTTTTTATAAAATCCTGCCTTGCCTCAGTTAGTTTCTCTGCAGTGTTGTACGTGTGTGCCTAGAATGCTTATGAACAATTATCTATTGTTATGCCTCCTTAACAACTCTGTAACATCTGGTGTGATTTACAGACAGGTGGTAGAGCAGGGGTGTCAAACTCAATTTCACTGAGGGCCACATCAGCATTGCGGTTGCCCTGGGGGGGTGGGGGGTGGCCAGAGTGGGTGAAGCCTACTGGGTGGGTGTGGATGGAGTGGGTGTGGCCTACTGGATGGGCGTGGCCAGTTCTACATCATTCGCATCAAGGGTGCCTGTGGGGGCCTAGGCAGGAGTGGGACAGATCTGAGAGTCTCTGGCAGAAGGGGGGTGGGACCAGGGCAAGTGCCAAGGCATGGTCCACCGGGGCAAATACCAAGATGGCCACCACAAAATTGTACATTGGCTCCCGGCCAGCCTGGGCCAGAGCCAAGGCAGCAGGGGCCGTTCCCTCACTGTTTCCAGGATGGCTTCGCAGGCCACATGAAACCACTTTGCGGGCCGCATCCGACCTTCTGTTTGACATGTCTGTAGTAGAGCTTCCTCTTAAGGACCTCTGCCAGCGGAGAAAATAGCTCCAACTTGCCAGTTAGACATAAAAAGAACATACTATGCATCACATCAAGGATGCTCTTTGAAACCCTCTTCCTCTCTAGGGTCACACCCTGTGACCCACAGCTTCTCGTTTGACTCTTCCTAGTCTAGGAAGTAATTAGGGCTGCTATCCTGCTTTCTGTCCATAGGGCACTCGAGGCAGATAACAATACGGAACAAACTTTAAACATGTTATAAAAACAGTTAACCCCATTGCCAAACTAACTTACTAAAAGGAGGCCTGGGGAAAGAAAGGTCTTGATTTTTTTTACTGAAAGTGGAAATAGGGAGGACCGAGCACAGTTCCTGAGGGAGGGCGTTCATAGCTTACAAGCAGCACTGAAAAAAGCCTTCTCCTCTGCATCCAGAAAGAAAAGGCCTAAATGTAAACACATCTTTGCAAAGGCCGTGGAGTTTAATATCCGGACCAGTTATCTATCTTTTAAGCTGTAAAGGTCTTGAAAGGTTGTTTTAAGTTGGCAAGGAGTGCCAGTTTTTTCACCACAAGATAATATACTCCTAGTGTTGTATGTCATTTAGAACAGGGCTTTTCAACCTTTTCATCCATTGTACCACTTTTAGGATATGGCAACATTCGAGTACCACCAGTCGCCTAGCAAAGTGTCAAAAACTTGATGACCAAAAAAAAAAAAAAAAGGAAAAAAGTGATAAAGTACAGGTAGTCCTCAATTTACAACAGTTCGCTTAGTGACTGTTCGAAGTTACAATGACACTGAAAAAAGTGCCCCCCAAGGCACTGCCGAGCAAAACACCTGCCTGCCCACCCGGTGGCGCTGTTCCTCCTGTCCAAGATTTTCATTGTTGTGAGCATTTCTGTTGAGGATTGGCAGCGGGGGTGGGGGGGTGTTTGGTTTTTATTCCCCCCGTCTACTAGGTGATTGCAGCAGGTTTTGGTCACTTCACATGACCTTGGGACACTGTGACTGTCATAAATATGAATCAGTTGCCAAGCATCTGAATGTAAATCACAAGACCCTGGAGATGTTGCAACATTCCATACGATCAGCGCTTCTTCTGGGCTCAGCAGAAGCACCAGGATCAGCGCCAAGCTCAGGTGGAGCCTGGCGCTGATCCTGGCGCTTCCACTGAGCCCTGACAGCCCTGCAGCTCCAGCCATCTCTCGCTCAAGCTTGTGTGGTGCTGCTACCTGTTCAGCTCATTCCCCTCCCCTGCTACCACTTTTCTAGGATGGTCGCGTACCATCCACCAGGTGCCAATGTACCGCAGGTGGTACCCATACCACTGGTTGAAAAGCCCTGATTTAGAAGCCTGGCTGCTGCCCTTTACATTAACTGGATCTTCGAAGCAGTGCTCAAAGATAGCTTGATGTAAACTGTGTTACAGTAGTTAAGCTAGGAAATAACTGAGGCGTGAGTAATTCTTATAACTTGGGAAGCAAAAGCCCTGACACACTTCGTCATAACCACTGAGTGAGAGGAATAGGGGGGAGAGAAAAAAGAGTGTCACATTTAGAATTAGCATCATTTAGTATCAAAATGTTTCAAAAAAAAGTGTCACTTTAACTTAGCATCAAAGCAAAACATACTTTAAAAATTGCTTCAAATTTCAATGGTGTCATGAAATTCCAATTGGGATAATGTTGTCTAAATAAATTATCTCTTTTAAGAGACAACTCTCCTGATATTATTTTGGTTAGACTTTTCTTTGCTCAATTGATGGTTTCTTTGGTTTCATTGGAAACCAAAAATCATATTAAAAGAAAGTGGCAGGATATAGACAAGATTGAGAAATGATTTCCTTTCAAGTACTTTCATTAGTACTTAATGACAGTAGCTTGAGCAAAAGGTTGGTTAAAACAGCTTTTTTTTTTTTTACCAGGGAGCTATGGCAACCTGGGGGCCCTAGAATATTTCAAGGAGGCCAAGGGTGAAAAACATGTAACAGGGATCAAGGCACTTACAGAGAGGGTCATAGAAAAACAAAGTTGTATTATACTGCAAATGCTGTCTTGTTGATGCCAGAAAATGCATCAGTTACAGCCCGATGTCCATTTAAAGCAGTGGAACATGGACAGGGGGGCCCACAGGAGAAAAACAAGGTTGGAAGCTTCACAAGTGAAAACAAGGTTGAGAAACACTGGGTTAAAGTATGCTACATGTTTTTAAATACTCTGCATTTCCATAGTGCAATACAATGTTATGCCAGATGAGGGCATGCCGAGCAGGTTTTTCTTCAATAGGTCACTGAGAATTTCAAATATGGAATTTGTTCGGTGCAGTCATAATTTCAAGCAGTCACTGAATAAATGGTCATTAAGTGACGACTACCTGTATGTGAAAAATACAGATGAATTTAACATATGTATTGTGCTCAATTAATATGCATTAGGCCTCTTCCATTTTAATTACACTGAAAGTGAATCTGCCACACTAATACGGGGGTGTCAAACTCGCAACGTCATGTGGCATGGCGTGACGTATCGTGACTTTTTCTCCATTGCTGGCAATAGGGTGGATGCAGTTTTGGCATGAGGCATCCAGCCCACGAGCCGGCAGTTTGACACCCCTGCACTAAGATCTTCATTTGATCTGAGTCGGGTATATACTTGAAACAACTATTTAGTTCATATATGACAGGATAAGTGGATCCCTTTGTTGCGTACTTACTAGTGTAATTATACAAGTTCTGCAACCCAGTTTACCTTGGTTCATTGATCTAATACCTATGTCTGCTTTTTCTGCTTTCTGTGGCCACTCTGTCCCCTTGGTTCTTGGCAAATTTTCTGTATCAAAGTGCTGGCACTGATATGCTGCATCTCTTATAGGCAATTTCAGAGTCACATTGAATAACACTCACAATACAGCTATGCAAAGTCTTTGAAAAAAGTGTTTGCAGTCTGTGCAAGCAGGTAAGAAACACCTTTTTCCAAATCATTGTAATGTTTCAGCTATCTCCACATAGATGTGCATACACTATCACAATCACTTTAAAGATAGTCCTCAACTTATGACCATTTGTTTATCAATGGTTCGAATAAACAATAGCCTGAAAAATGATGCTTTATAGCTGATAAAGCACTTCCAGACATTACAAAGCATTGCACCACATAACTGAAATCCAAGCAGGCATAATGCTGAAATCCTTCAGCAGGCAATTCTTTCAGCCAGTACTTAAAGATGAGAGGCAGCCAAAATCCAGCTTTGATTTTTCAGCCCCTGAGCAGAGAGGCAGTATGGTAAGATAAGGAGTGTGAGGTGCCTCGGGCATGGGGGAGACCCTAGAAGGCCTGGAGCAAGCTGCAACTGTATCCAGTCAAAGGCTAAAAATCCTGCTTGGATTTTGGTAATGAGGCATGCCTCTGAAATAAACAGTACTATTTCTCGCTTACAACTTTTTCCTCGATTAGACAAAGGAACACACAGTCTTCTCAAACAGGCAGGCTTTCAGTTAACCTCTACATTCTGTACAATGATGCAGGTAGTGCTAGGAACAAAGAAAGAGCAACATCTTTTAGGTGAGAACCGAAAGAGAACAGCCAGCTCCCCTCCACATGCAGAAGGGAATTCCATTGGTGCCAGGTTTTTAATGTTTATGGTTTTAGTAGACATACCCGTATATCCCTGAAAATAAGACCCGGTCTTACATTTTTTTTTCCTCCAAAAGAGGCACTAGGTCTTATTTTTGGTGGTTGTCTTACTTTAAGACTGCCGCAGCCAGGCCTCCTATGCCCCAACACCTGTCACGCCACAGCTTCACTTATTCAGCAGCCACTTGCTGCCACTTGCGGCCAGATGCTACGTGGAGCCTTGTGCCATTGCCGTGCTTGCGACAAGAGACCGCATGATGC